TATATATATATATATATATATATACTGTATATGTATTCACAGTATATATGTTGTTAGCACTTGGATTACTTGGTAAACGACTAACTTGCTTCAAAACTGTTTTGATTCAGGACTCTTTATTTTTTATTTTTTTATTTCTAGCAATGGTCTCTTTCTGGTCTCTTTGCACTTATCATGCAAAAGTTGTCGGGTTCATGACATTGAAGTTGAAAGACTGGATGTAACTTTACCCAGACAAGGTCAGTAAGTGACTCTATCAAACTAGTCTGATGCTAACACTTATAATCATTCTGTTTGAAAGTGTATGTCTTTGATGTTTGGTGCCTGGTCCTGTGTATTTCCCTTTCTGTAGTCATTTTTTTTTTTGTAGTCACTTTTTAGTAGTCACTTTGTTGAAATTATATATATATATATATGTGTGACTGTGTGTGTGTTGGAGTAATTCAGACTGAGATCAGGTGGATGGTCACTCAAGGATGCTTTACTGGGCCTGACAGACAAAACTGGGACAAACACGACCAAAAGGCTGGTTAGAATACATTGCATCGATGTTGCATGAGAAGTCTTAGCAGCAGGGAGATATAGAGACTCCGCTACTGACATTTTCTCTAAAGTGCACGTGACATATAGTGGGCAAAAACCTCAAAATAAAGCACACATTAAATAAAATAAAACAAAACACTAATACAGTCAATAAACATTAACACAGAGAAACTGTAAACTTAAGTGACCAATATTTTACATATTTTGTATAAAAGACAGACAGAACGGGAAGAATGCAGCCCTAAAATGGCGCCGCTACACACTTCAGCACGTGCGAGCATACAACACGTGTGCTAATAGCTAACATTCAACTATAGCTGATATTATTTTAACACAGATCATGACAAAACCGAACAAAACACATACCTGGGACAAACACGACCAAAAGGCTGGTTAGAATACATTGCATCGATGTTGCATGAGAAGTCTTAGCTAAATGAAATAAACAGAGGTTCGGAGTTCACAAGCAGGCCAATAAACACTTCATTTTATCATCACAAATAACTGACAGACAAAATAAGTAAACTTGTGTGTAGTTTCAAGTTTAAACTTGGGCTTGAAAACAATTCAAACTTAGTTTTTAAGACGGAGCAATCATTTATGCGACTTACCAGCAGGGAGATTATAGAGACTCTGCTGCTGATGACGTAGCTCCGCCCCGCAACATCATGTGCGCAATGAGTGATGCAACAGCCATTGGGAGTTTTCCCAATTTATGCATGAATTTAACTAATTATTTTAACTCCGTTACACACACACATATATATATATATATATATATAAGGAAGTGGGGAAAAAACATAACTAAGGCTTTAAAAATCTAGAACAAACAGACACTATACCAGGGTAAAAAAAAA